TGTGTGTGTGTGTTCCGGAACGGATCTCCTGCGAATTCAGAGGGATGACTGTATGGAATAATTTCATAGTTATGTAACCCAAAATGCTAGGGGGTCCCGGGAGGGTGCCCACAAATTAATATATTTTAGGGGAAATTTAATAAATAAAAATACACCTTGGCTAGGGCGACATTCAGCCTGGTATCTTGCCCTTGTATATTAGTTCCAAATCACATAGAACTCCAGAGGCAATTCCAAATAGGTTTTGTTGTTTTATTAGTGAAATAATCAGCGCACACACGCACACACACATATGCACACATACAAAAACTAACAAAGCAAAGGTGAGAGAAGGTGAAATGTAGAGGCCTTACTAATGATAATACTGTACTGATCTTGAAGCCTGGTTAGGGTCTCTGGAATGGAGATGGCTCAATAGCCACTGCAGCAAGTGAGGTGGCCAGCTTATTGAGGAATCTAGTAGAAGTTGAACAGAGATTCTGTCCTGCTTTAGATTAGGTCAAATTGCTAGTGCTAGGTAGTGGTGTATATACTCAAAATCATGTCCCAGGGCAGCCATAGCAGAATGAATAGATTACCTTGTTGCTAAAAAGTTTTTCCCAGGAGAGAAGAAGAATGGTCAGGAGATTGAAGAAATGTTCGGACAATTGGTGTGAGTATCTCAGACAAAGGAAAACTCTTACTACTGGAGAAGAGTCCTTTGTCTGTGTATGCACAACCACCTTCTTCATCCAGAATCCCATCACTGCCCTCCATAAACAAAGGGATTATGTTGATGTCTTTGGATGATCTCATTGTGGTGGATACTCTTGCTTCCTCCATGCTGCAGCCAACTGGATTTCTAAATATGGTATGGCTTGGTCTCTGCAGTGGGATTGCCTTTCAGGCTACCCACCTCTGCACCCCTCTTAATATTAAATTGATATCACAATTGAGAGGGATGCTGGGGGGGGGCTGACCTTGTGTAACAGTGCCTTATAACTGATAGTGTCTGGAAACACCCTTGCTCTCTTTTGGGGAGGGGCAGATTTAATACAGTCAGCCCTCTGTATCCACAAATTTTTTTTATCCACCTGTTCAAGCATCCATGACTTGAAAATATATTTAAAAATATATGAATTCCAAAAAGTAAATCTTGATTTTGCTCTGTTATATAAGGGACATCATTTTACTATGCCATTGTATTTAATGGGACTTCAGCATCCACAGCTTTTGCTATCCATGGGTGATTCTGGAACCAAACCCCAGTGGATATCAAGGGCCCATTGTATTTGGATTATATCACTCCACTTTGGAAAAGAAATGCAAGCTATACCCCAGATTCTATCTTATATGAGGATATACTCCTCCTGCCCAATTCTAGGACCTTTCTGTCTTTGCTTCAGGGAACTATCTCTCCTCAGGACTTAGCTCCCTTGATATCACTATTTATGTTTCAAATTATATTCAGCTATATTAAAAAATATAACTATTTCTAAAATCAG